AGTTGTTGTCTGCCAGTAAACCCAAAGCAGAAGAAGAAGTGACGTCAGCAGCTTCATTTGACTAATCCTTCCTCAGGAAACTTATTCCTGTGTGAACGCAATCTGTTCTTAGTTCATCAGAACTAAAGAGTTCTGATGAACTACGTACGGCAAAGTACTTGGTGTGAAAGCGCCTATTGTGTTCTTTTTAACCAAGTGTCTCTCAGAGGGGCGTGGGGAGGGGCTCCTTATTTTCATCTAAAGTAACAGACAGAGAATCAGCACTTTTGAAACAGGGCTGAAACAGAGGGGATTATGGGTAAGGATGCAATGATCTGTTTGGTATTTCGAGCGAAACACTTCAGAGACATGTTCTGGATAAATCTGAGACCTGTGATATATTGATGAAAAACTGTATAATAGGGGACCTGCTTTGACTCTAGACTCCTTCACTGGAATTCACTCTTGTCTGTTTCCCTCTACAGAAAGGAAGGAAGTGCTCTCGTACCCACAAGGCTCCTGAACCCCACCGCCTGTCCTACGCCGGCTGCAGGAGCTCTCGTCTGTACCGACCGAACTACTGCGGCGTGTGCAGGGACGGCCGCTGCTGCTCGCCTCGTCGCACACGCACCGCCAGCGTGAGTTTCGCCTGTCCCGACGGAGAGAGATTCAACCGCTCCGTGATGTTCATTCAGTCCTGCAAGTGCAGCGACGAGTGCAACCATCTGAACGAGGCCGCCATGCCGCCTCAACGATGGCTCTACGGAGACACACACAAGTTCATCGACTAGACATTCCCCCACAGCAAACAGACAATAACCTCCCATAGTGATCCCCAATATAGAATAGCTGTCCTTAGTGTGTCTATGACAGGGGTGTCCAAACATATTTCACCGAGGGCCACATACAGAAAGATATTCGAAGGGCTGGGCCACTCACTACAGGTCAGGTTTGCCTCATAAGTGAAGTTATAAGTTAGCGAAATCAATCAAATGTAAGTCAATTATGCTGCAGCTCTCCATAGGGTGTAATTTATTGTGTTGGCAGCTCATTCCTTAAAACAGAAGCCTTAGATTGCTTACCATGAGAGGAAATAGGAAGGGTCTATTTCAAGGTTGTTATGTAAATAAGTTATTGGGCTTTTTTCTTATCAACTTAGATTTCTTAGAACATATTTTCAACTTGAATTGACTGAAAGTGGGCTTATTAACACATGAACACTACAGTGTAATATATATTTACAGATATATTTAAGAAGTACAATACAAGACAAGCACAAGTTTCATTTGTGGGCCGCATTCCAGTATACTTTTTGAATTTGCTGATTAGTTTGGACACCCCTGATCTATGAGTAGACGCAAGCGAGGTGAACGAGAAACTGGGGAGGAATGGGGAGATTTGGACGGGGAAGAGCAGATGCTTTAGTGTAGATAAACTTTGTTCCTACAGACTGTGACTAAGACCTTTATGGACGATACCAAACGTCCTCTGAGACTTTTGATGAGGACGATGGAGCGAGACACACAAACAGAACTGTTGATGTTTCTTTCGGTGGATCCACGACACAGTTTCGTAAGTCCGACGAGCCGATAGAAAGCTGGTGGACCTCGCATTGGAGCTAATGAATGCACTCCAATAACTGGATAAACCAAAAGAAGACAAAGAAACCGGTCCGGGCAGAAGATGGACGAGCATTTCAGATGTTCTTGAAAGAGGTCTTTTCACGGTATTTATTCACTGGTATTTATTGAGACCGACGTGATGACACGGTTGGGTCGCTATGTTTGGACGGACAAAACAGCTGAGAGCTGTCGGCCTAAACAGATCTGGGGCTCGACCCCTGGGTCAGAAAGCCAAATCTAATGATGGATGATGAAGGAGAGGAGGAGGTATGTACTAGAAAAAGCCCGAGTTGAACCTGATGGGTTGAAGCATTAGCGGGGGAACAAGTCAAAGGTTGTTTACACAGCTGGACGTCCCCCTGCCTTCGAATCTACAAGAGACATTTAGCAAGAACAAGAAGAACAAGCATAGGATTCTGGCGCCGAGACGTCGTCCCGCCTAACTCTGAGCAAATTACAATCCTGACTCAGCGAGAGTGGACTCTTTGGTTTGCTATAAAAATAAAATTTGAAAAACGGCGTCTGCTGAGGTAAACATGTAATTTGTGACTCGCGGGTTGGAACCGCGGTCTGGCCTGTAATCGAGCGGCATGTGAGCTCATGACACAATAACTCGCGCTTCATCCATGTGTAAGAGTCTGTTTCTGAGAGAGGAGCCTCACGGCCTTTGGAGAGGACATTAGGAAAGGATCCCATAAGACATTTCGATGGGAGGAAATTCTTCGTCCACTTTGCGAAAGTTTTTGATTTCTATCTACGGAGGAACTGACTTTTATCTTGACTGAATCATCACCATTTTCAGTATTTCAAAGATGTGTTTTCTCTCGGCTTAGATATTCCTTCTGGATAATATTAGCATTTTCTACCGTCTCTTCTTGGCTTCCGTAGGCTTTCTTAGTTCAGAGACTTTGCCACGAAGCCTGAAACAACTTTTGCAGGTGATAAAAAATAAGGTGTTTAATTGTTGGCCATTGATATTTGCCTATGTAGATGCTGTGGTTTTGGTACTGTATGTGTAGTTTTGTTTAAAGAACACTATAGAGCAGCTATGTACAGATGCATTGTTACCTTTGTAGATCTATCTGCTGTATAAGAACCGATCCTTTACCCAGTTATACTGAAGTAGTCCATGTAGAGTTTAGCACTGAACAGAGCAGGGTTCAGGTCCTTTAGTGCCAATTTGAAAGCATGAGGATTGTATGTCTACTAGTGTACAAACACCATCTGCAGTAATGAAGTCATGCTTTTTAGGATTACATATTTACAGACTTGCTGGAAACGGGTTGCCTACCAAATAATGGGATGTTAAGAGTTTGGAGTTCATTTTGCATTTTTAATAAAGACATGTTCACTCCTACAATTGGTCTACAGCATTTCCATTGTTATATTTTTCTTTTAATGTAGATAAAATGACCTAATGTTGAGTTTTCAATGCCGTCTCAACAGTTCATACATTGGTGTACTTTAAAGGGCCTATGTCATGCTTTTCTGGTTATTACCCGTCCCCTTGTGTGTTATGAAGGTTTCTCTGCATGTAAACGGTCTGCAGAGTCTCAAACCCTCAAAGTGCACCCTGTAGCGAGTAAAACTCTAACAGAGAAGACCTGTCTATGCTGCCCCAGAACGCCTCGTTGGACATTTCTCTTTTTCCATTGTTTGCTTCCCAGGTTCTGTGACGTGTGAACACCCAAATCAACAACAAATGACCGGATTGGCCCAAATGGACCAATCCGGAGCACCTCACACACCAGGACCTCTTGGCTAACTAACAGGGAGTCCCATTGACTTGCATAGAGCTCCCTGAACACTGGTAATAGACGAGTTGGGATGGTGGAGAAATGCTCTCTGCAGACCCATTCTCACAGCGTTATAAACCTTTTTGTTACTCAATATCAAGCCACACTTATTGTTTTTACTTGGGCTGTGAGTGTTTGTGTGCTCAGGATGAGTTTCGCTTGTTCTCGCTGTATCGCCGACCCGGAAACCTGTCCGCTCCTCGCAGCAGCAACGAGCCTCGCAATGTCCCGACCAATCAGAGTACACTGGGCTCACAGGGAGGGGGGGGGCAGGAGCTCCAACAAGCCGTGTAGGACACATACTATACAGAGATGCTGTATGAGAAACCAATGTGAGTTTGGAAAAGTGCACAATGTAAATCTATTCTAGTAGACCTCAACAATGGAAATATGATCAGTAGAAATGGCCATGACATGGGACCTTTAAGCTAATTATTGCTACTATTAAATTCTGGCATTACCATGCTTTTAAAAACATCACAACTCATGACAATTGTAGACATTTTAACCTCAAAATACTAGTAGATGCAAATTAAAGGGGCCCTATTCTCCTTTTTGGGAGTTTCCCCCTTTCCTGTAGTGTGTTAAAATACTTTAGTGCATGTAAATGGTCTGCTAAGGCAAAAATAAAGACCGTTAAAGCTTGGAAACACGTCACATTACAGGCACAAATTACATATGAACCTGGAATAAGTATAATTTTAAGATTTAAGCTTCAATTACTTCATTATACGGTGTGTTTTACGACATACGTGTAATAAAAATGGCCAAATTCTTCACTTGGTGATTCTTTTATTGGAGGCATTCAATTGGATATTCAAAGAGATAGCTGCCATGTGAGCATAGACCTACTTAACGGTAACTACATGACTTTGTAAAAAGGCTTGTCGTTGCAGGAGGAGGGGGGGGGGACAAAAATAACTTCCTATACAATACGATTTTCAAAAAGGGGGCTAAAATCTTGTTCCTCAGAAATATGTCTTTATACGTTTCCCTGAAGCTCTGAAAATTGGGTAGAGACCAAGACAGTAAAAATGGCATTTTATAAAAAGTTTTAATTTCAACAGTTAAAGACAAATTAAAAATCAACCCCCCGTCGTCGCCCCCAAAAAAGAAAATGACAATAAAAATAAACGGTGAATAGAGCAGAGCTTTTTGACTCAACGATGAGATACGTCTACTTCCAAATCCATGAAGAGATTTCTGCTGGGCTGGAGGACTCATCTGGACTGCTCGACTGTAGAGAAGGGAGAGACACGATGAGAATTTTAGAGATGAGCGCGATGAGCAACAGCTGAGCATAACTACATTTCAGCGACTGGTTAAACATGCAGAGCAGATCCACAGATACATGACACAACAACAACAACTGCTGCTGCGTGTTTCTGCCAAGACGAATGAAGGTTAATTACAACAGCTGACCAAATATCAATGGATTAAACAGACAGTATATCAACTGTGCTGCAGGAATGAGTCCTAAACCCAGGAAATAAGTTAAACACTTAATATAAACGTCACCAAGTCAATGTTTTTCTGGCTTCCCTATAGGCCGAAAATAAGCCACCTTTAGCTTAGCGGTGGTGACGTGAAGTCATGTGACCGTGCTGTAGTTCCTTTATAGCCCAACATTAGCCGCCTTTAGCTTAGCGGTGGTGCGAAGTCATGTGACCGTGCTGTAGTTCCTTTATAGCCCAACATTAGCCGCCTTTAGCTTAGCGGTGGTGCGTAGTCATGTGACCGTGCTGTAGTTCCTTTATAGCGCAAAATTAGCCACCTTTAGCTTAGCGGTGGTGATGTGAAGTCATGTGACCGTGCTGTAGTTCCTTTATAGCCCAACATTAGCCGCCATTAGCTTAGCGGTGGTGATGTGAAGTCATGTGACCGTGCTGTAGTTCCTTTATAGCCCAACATTAGCTTTTTACTACAAAAATCATGAATCCATCCCTTCACCTCTCCATTAGCAGACGTATCATTGAGGATGGACAATTTAGAAAAATTAAGTGTGATCATTTTGCCGTCGTGATGAGATGGCATTTCTCAAAAAACCCAAAAACCTTTTCCAGAATGTAGTGCAAAAAAGGCCATTTTTAATTATTTGATGTTATATATCCATCAAAATGTATAGGAAGGACATGAAAAATATGAAAAAAGTGTATTTAGATTAGAACTGGTTTTGTTGGCTGTGACATCTCCGCAGCACCACAATACTTTATTCAGCATATTTGTACACATATTTTGAGCTAGTGCTGTTTCAGTTAATTGAGCAGCGCTGCGTTTTATGTTGTCTTGAGTTACTTGATTTGATCCCACACATTACGATCGGTCCAGCTTCACTAAAGCACGTCAGCATTAAGAGGAGGAGAGGCTTACTGTAAGAGGAGATGTCGATCTCGTCCGGCAGCTCGGCCACGTTGACCTCAAAGCGGTCCTGCACGTCGTTCAGAGTCTTGGCGTCGGTCTCGTCAGAAACGAAGGTGATGGCCAGACCTTTGGTTCCAAACCGACCGGCACGAGCAACCTGAAGCAGAGGAGGGGCAACGTGAGTTCAGTCCACTAACACAAGGAGCACAAAGGAGATACTGGGAAACAAAATGGGCGACCACTTTCTTTGATGCTAACTATACTTCTTGGCAGACTGAAAATGTAGTTTGATAAAAAAAACATTACCAAAACCTGTTTTCTTTGCCTATGAAGATCTAGACAACAATATGTTTGGACTTGGTTTTTCCTCATGAATTTACTAGTAGCATTTTCTGTGCTAAGATATATCGCAATTATATCAGCAACTCTGCGTAACTTGTGAGAAATAAGGTGACATTATCTGTAGACTTTCAAAACAAAGACCATTTGACTGTCTACATATCCAGTGACGAGGAGATGCTCAAACACTAACTGTATTTCTTATTGACAAAGGACTGAAAATGTACCAAAAACCTGTTTATTCTTTGTTTAAGAAAAGTAGAACATTCATTGTCAAACCGTGAGCTAAGTGAGGAGGACTAGGCGTAACTTACTTGAGAAAAAGTACGAGGACTTGTGAGAAATAAAGTGAACTGAAATGTTCAATAATACTTCACGAAAACTTTGAATGAAGTGGCCTAAACATGCTGAAAACCAAGGACACTCCACACAGACGTGAGACTAATTAACACAACATATCCATGCTACTGTTATGCAGGTATTCAAAAAGGGGGCGGGGTTAATAGGTTTATCTGTGAAATAACCACCAGGATAATGATTGACTGCCAGAAATCTACTTTTACTCACAGGAAAAATGTATAACTTGCTACATCTCTCAGCCAGCCAAACTACTAGGCAAGCAGCACGCCATCATCTACGGAACATTTGCATTCAGGAAAGCAAGTTCCCGTAAAGGCGGATGGATTTATGGCAGGCAGTGAACCAACGATAACTCTCACCAAGTACGACTCGGTTCCCTTCGTTCGTACCAAAGAGCCGTTCAAAAGAATCGGAGGCGAACCTAACATCACTACTCGGAAGCTCACCCTGTGCAAATAGGTGTCAGAATCTTCCGGCATGTCGTAGTTGAACACGATGTTGACCCGCTCGATGTCCATGCCTCTGCCGAACAGGTTGGTGGCGACCAGGATCCGCCTCTGGAAGTCCTTAAACTGCTGGTAGCGAGACAGCCTGGGGAGTAAATAATAATAATAAGTTTATATAGTATAGCACCTTTCACAGAAATACAATTCACGTAACCAATGCGTACATTAGCTTTTGAAAACATCACAAAATCTTGACAATTGTAGTTGTGTAATATCTGTTTTAACCTCAATATACTAGTAGATACACATTTGTGGGGTTTCTCCCTTTCCTGTGGTGTGTTTAGTACATTTTAGTGCACGTAAATGGTCTGCAAATAATAATTTAAATACTTTTAAAGCTTGGAAACACGTCACAGTAGATGGACAAAACACAAATAAACCTGATAATGAGCGTAACGGGGCCAATTTAAGCTTCGATTACTTCAATATACGGTGCGTTTTACGACATACGTGTAATAGAAATGGCCAAATTCTTTACTTGGTGATTCATTTATTGAAAACATTTAATTGGATAGTTGCCATGTGAGCGTAGACTTACTTAACGGGCACAACAGGACTTTCTAAAAGGCTTATTGTTGCTTAAATAATAATAAGTTTATATAGCATAGCACTTTTCACAGAAACAAAGTGCTTCACAAGACTTAAAATGAAGACCACAGAAACATTAATACAACAACAACATGAGGCAGAAATGTAAGGGGGGGGGGGTTTTATCTATCAGCTGCTNCTGCTGCAGGATTACTGACTGAAGCCTCTTTGAAGGCAGTGATGTGTTGAGTTCACTGACGAGGCCTCATGCTCCGTAAACATGCTCAGTATTCAGAGCTCAAAGGAGCACATGTTTATGAGAGGAGGCGTGTAGTGAAGATTTATCTGTGTGTGTTTGCAGCAGCAGCAACCGGTACAGTATGCGTGAGAGATTTGCATTTACTGTTGCCACATATGAAGTGTGAAGATGTAACTGAGACATTAGATAACTCACTTTCACAATCTACATCTACAAAGTCAAGCCCCATATTTATCTTCACTTTACCGTAATTACTGCATCTTTGAGACACAGCTAGAAACCTACGTGACATAATGCACTTCCCAAACAGCATGAATAATCCCAATTATCTTGGAAGAAATAGAATTATTTTGTTAGCGCTTTTACAGGTGCTCAAAGACGCTTTACAGATATAGTGAAAAGAAAAACAAATAAATATATAGTTTAAGTTAAAGTCAAATAACACAAAAACAAATCACACATTAAAAGCCAGATTGAAGATTAAAAGCAAGTAGTCAGATCCTTTGCTGCCTGAGTACGTGTGTGTGTGTGTCCTAGCATTACTATACTTGTGGGGACCTAAATCTGTTTAGTCACCTGTGGGGACTCGCCTCCCTTATGGGGACAAAATGGAGGTCCCCATAAGGGGAATCATTAATGTTAGGGTGAAGACTTGGTTAGGGTAGGGTTAGGACAAGTCTCCAGGAAATGCATGTAAGTCAATGTAATGTCCCCTGAAGTGATGTATACATGGTATGTGTGTGTGTTGGTGTGTGTGTTACCTCTCCTCCTGAGCCATCCCTCTGTGGATGGCGATGGCCGGGAAGTTTTGCTCCACCAGCAGCTGAGCCAGAGCCACGCAGCGCTGCACTGACTTGACGAAGATCACCACCTAGAGGGAGAAAAGGGGAATTAAACACAGCGGCTGAGGAACAGCAACTTGAAGCACTCCTATGACTCCTGGCAGGCTTTGTTTACACCTTGAAATAGTTTGAAATCACTTGAACTTTCTCGCAGGTTTCAAAGCCATAACTCTACACTATGGGGTATACCATTATCCTTTCAATTTGTTAGATGGGAAGCTTAATACCATATTTATGTTTCATGTCTTCAATGTGAAGTCTTTTAGCTAGAAACAGGGAACAACCATCTGAAGATCTTACAGCTCAATATGTGCCACTTTATGGGTGCTGTTTTTACCGGTTGTTAATCTTTATTGGACAGTGAAAATACCGTCCATCAACCAAAGAGCTTCCCATTTCTTTTTGAGACAGTTCTTTAGAAGATGTTGGTAGGCTAATCTTTCAGTAAAGCCACTTTCTCATTTCTTTACTCGCAAATTACCGGGTTACTACAACTGTAGATACACAAGAACTAACTCAAAGATGGCCCCAATAAGTAACAAAATGGTTATATACTTCGTAATGATAGCTCCATCACTCTACCTGGTTGAACTCCAGCACGTCGAGCAGGTCGAACAGTTTGCGGTTCTTCTCGCTGTCCTTCAGCTTGCAGTAGTACTGCGCCAGGCCGTGGAGCGTGAGCTTAGTCTCGTCGTCAACGAACACCTCCATGGGCTGAAGGAGAGATAACAGAAGGATGTTAGGGAAACATGCAGCGGTGAAGGGAGACGCACAAGTTCTCCCTGATAGAACTCCCCTATTATACTGTTCTTCATCAATATATCACCGGTCTCAGATATATACAGAGCCTGTCTCTGATTGGCTGAAACACCAAACAGATCATTGCAGCATTACCCATAATCCCCTCTGTTTCAGCCCTGTTTCCAAAGTGCTGATTCTCTGTCTCTTACTTTAGATGAAAATAAGGAACCCCTCCCCACGCCCCTCTGAGAGACATTTGGTTACAAAGAATTCAATAGTGCTCTAGTGATAAGGGGGGGGGTGTTACCTTGGTTGTGATTGGCTAATGGTTACACAAGACAAAACATCGTTATGACATCATAAAGTGGCCAAAATCTGATCAGCTCATTTTCAGACATTTTTTATATAAATGGATCAGGACAAAAAGAGAGAGAATCTTTGTTCCTGAAACTTTCAGAGTCTCTTTCCACAGAGGGGACACATGTTGATGTTGAAGAGACATGAAGAAGAGGGGACACATGTTGATGTAGAAGAGACATGGAGAAGAGGGGACACATGTTGATGTTGAAGAGACATGAAGAAGAGGGGACACATGTTGATGTAGAAGAGACATGAAGAAGAGGGGACACATGTTGATGTAGAAGAGACATGAAGAAGAGGGGAAACATTTTGATGTGGAAGAGACATGAAGAGGAGGGGACACATGTTGATGTAGAAGAGACATGAAGAAGAGGGGA